GGACAACACAAAAAAGGAAAACTACAGGCCAATCTCCCTAATGAACACTGATGCAAAAATCCTCAATAAAATTTAGCAATCAGAATCCAACAATGTATCCATAAGATAATTCACCACGACCAAGTAGGATTCATTCCAGGGACACAAGGATGGTTTAACATCCGAAAATCAATCAACGTTATCCAACACATCAACAAAAAGAAATATAAAAACCATATGATAATATCAATAGATGCTGAGAAAACTTTCGACAAAGTGCAACACCCATTCATGATAAAAGCCCTTGAAATTCTTGGGATACAAGGAACATACCTTAACATCATAAAGGCCATCTATGACAAGCCAACAGCCAGTATCATTCTCTATGGTGAAAAGCTGAAAGCAATTCCATTAAGATCTGGAACAAGACAAGGATGTCCACTCTCACCACTGCTTTTCAATATAATACTGGAAGTCCTACCCAGAGCAATAAGACAAGAGAAAGACATCCAAGGAATCCCAATAGGGAAGGAAGAAGTCAAACTATGACTATTTGCAGATGATATGATAATATATAGAGAACCCCAAACCCCTCCCAGAAAAACTAATTAAACTAATCAATCAGTTTAGTAAAGTAGCAGGATAAAAAATCAACACGCAAAAGTCAGTAGCCTTCCTATACACAAACAATAAATCTGAAGAAGAAGAAATCAAAAAACCATCCTTTCGTTATTGAAACAAAAAAAATCAAATATTTGGGAATAAATCTAACAAAAGAGGTAAAGGACCTATACAAAGAAAACCAAAAACACTGTTAAAAAGAAATAGAAGAAGACAAAAGAAATGGAGAAATATCCCTGCTCATGGATTGGAAGAATAAACATTATTAAAATGGCCATCCTTCCAAAGCATATACAGATTCAATGCTATTCCAATCAAATTTCAATGTCATTCTTCAAAGAAATAGAACAATATTGATGAAATTCATATGGAATCACAAAAAACCCCGAATAGCCAAAGCTCTCCTGAAAAAAAAGAAGGGAATGGAGGCATCACACTCCCAGACTTCAAACTATACTACAAAGCCATAATCATCAAAATGGCATGGTATTGGAACAAGAACAGACATACAGACCAATGGAATCAAATAGAAAATCCAGAAATAAACCCACAGATTTATGGTCAACTAATCTTTGACAAAGGAGCAAAGACTATGCATTGGAGCAAAGAAAGTTGTTCAATAAATGGTGCTGGGAAACTGGGTCGCTACATGCAAAAGAATGAAGCTTGACCACTACCTCACACCATACACAAAAATCAACTCAAAATGGATTAAAGAATTAGACATAAGACCTGAAACCATAAAATATATAGAAGGAAATATAGGCGAACACTACTGATTTGCACATCAAAGACATCTTTACAGACACATCACCCAAAGCAGTGATAGTAAAGGCGAAGATAAACAGCTGGGACTACATCAAATTAAAGAGCTTCTGCACAGCAAAAGAGACAATAACAAAAACAAAGAGAAACCCACCAACAACTGGGAGAACATTTTTGCACCCAACACTAATGATAAAGGACTGATCACAAAAATCTGCAAAGAGCTGATGAGACTCAACAACAACAAAGAAAATAATCCAGTCAAAAAATGGGCAGAAGAGCTAAAAAGAAACTTCTCTGAAGAGGAAATGCAAATGGCCAACAGGCATATGAAAAAATGTTCAACATCACTTGTCATCAGGGAAATGCAAATCAAAACTACCATGAGATACCATCTTACACCAGTGAGAATGGCACATATTAAAAAAACTAGCAACAACAAATGTTGGCGAGGATGTGGAGAAAAAGGAACTCTTCTGCACTGTTGGTGGGAGTGCAAACTGGTCCAACCACTGTGGAAAGCTGTGTGGAGATTTCTGGACCTACTAAACATAGAGCTTCCATATGATCCAGCAATTCCACTCCTAGGTATTTACCCAAAGGACACAGAAACATCCATTCCAAAGAACACCTGCACCCCTATGTTTATAGCAGCACTGTTTACAATAGCTAAGCTTTGGAAACAACCCAAATGCCCAAAAATAGATGACTGGATCAAGAAGATGTGGTACATATATACCATGGAATATTACTCAGCATTCAAAAAAGATAAACACATGCAATTTGCAGCAACATGGATGGCACTGGAAGGGATCATGCTCAGCGAAATAAGCCAAAAAGAAAAAGAAAAATACCGGATGGTCTCACTCATAGCAGGAATCTAGAAAACTTAAATAAGGGACCAGGAAAATGAATAACTATAAGAAAGTGAAAATCAAAATCAACAAAAAACTATGAACCAGAGACACTTTTATAGGGGGCAGGGGCGGGAGGGGAGGGATTGGGGTCAGAATGGGGGCGCTGCAATTGTATGGGGAATATAACAATAAAATTTATTATCTAATAAAAAAAAAAAAAGAAAAAAGAAAGAAGTATGCAACTGTCATGACTGATCCAGCCATTAGATTCTTCAGTTTGGGTCAATAAATATCCTTCAGTGAAGAGAAATGCAGGATAAACAACAAGCTTGGGGAGAAAGCAAGGTTTTATTTAAGGCAAAATATAAAAGGTTTTGAGAAGGCAGCACAAATATACAACCACCATTGATCGAGGAAGAACAATAGAGAGGGAGGTTCAAAGGGTGGAGTGCAAAGAATAAAGCCAAGAAGTGTCTGGAACAAGCTGTCTCATCCCATGCCATCAGGACCAACTGTTGGTTTTTCCAGTAAGTTGGATATAATGGGAAATGATAAAAAAAAAAGTCATACATACCATAAACACTTTATATAATTAAAACATAAATGTACACACATGTGCCAATCTTTTGATGTCAAGCCAAGGCCTGTTCCCTGCATATGGATCTGCTGATTGGAGTTATGCGTCTTCTGTCTTACATAAACCACATCCTTCATCTACGATTTCCAGTTTTGCTTTCTTTACAGTGGAGGAAAAAGCTCAAAACTTGCAAAATAATCTGAATGCATAGCTCATTGAGGTTTTCACAACACCCCCACATTCTTTTAGCATTATCCTACCTCCATTTAGTCAATAAATAGCAAAGTTTTTTAGATAACTTTTATCAAGTTTTTCCAACAGTTAGTTTTTACAGAAACAAAAACCAGTCTTCTGCATTTGATCAGTTTTATTTCCTGTTTAAATTATTTAAAATAAGAAGTAGAATTAGCTAACACATTTTAGGATAAACATGACACAATTGGTCTTTGGAAGGTAGACAGCTTAACTGGTGGAGGTGGAGTGTAGGGGCAATCTGCAGGAGGCATCTGTGTGACAGGCTGAGCAATCTGTGTGACTAACAGGAGGTGTTATAGTGGTTAATTCAGTGTCAGTGAAGATCAGGACAATTTATATTATTATATTATCAATTATTATACTATTTTTACTGAGGTGTCATTGGTTTACAATACTATACATGATTCAGAGGAACAGGAACACACCTCTTCAGATATATGCCACCATACCACACCAATCCCCAAGGCATCCATCATTCTCCACTGGGCCCCCTTCACTCTGGCTGCTTTTTGAGTCATAGACAAAGACAGTGGGGTGTGAAGTGTTATTAACTGGCTCCAAGTCTCCAAATGGAGAAGTGATATAAAACTTTTTTCTGCCCCATACATTTTTTCTCCTTTCCTTAACTTCTATGGCTTTTGATATTCTGAAGAAGACAGACTAGGACATTAAGGGAAAGGGTGAAAAAAAAGAAAGAGGCTTAGAGAAGGGGTCTGAATTTTCACAATGTCTGCTGGACCCTGACCTAGTTCCATTTCACTCCCTCCATTTAGTACTGATGTCTAGGGATATCACCTGCTTTCCTTTTCTACTACTTCCATCTTTTCTTCATCTGAGTCTCACTACCAGAAAAGGGATCAATATTCATACTGATTAGCATTCTCTGTATATTTCATTTTCTCTTTTTCTTTCTTCCCATTGGTTTTTTCAGGAGGATTACTTGGTGTGAATATACAGAAAGGGAAGAGGAACAAAACTAACAAAGTGAAAAGAATTTATACATTCAAGAAATGATAGAAGTACCTGCATTAATTGTCATGGTTAGGCTACCCAGCCCTGAACATCATTATTAATCACTAAATCCCTTCTTGCATTTACCAACAGAGGGTACTTCTTTCCCTATAGTATGCATAGGGAAACATAATTCCTCCATGCTCCTCAGCCAGGTATCCTGAGATTGGAAAGTCTTTCTCCCACTATGCAACATGATACACTCAAATGGAATTATAAGACAGAAAATATTGGGTGCTACTAAAATTGGCATTCATAGATTAGCCACCATTTATAAGGCTAATCAGTTCAGCAAGTGCACCCAGGGGTTTCGGGCATCATTTTGCTTATTTTACCTGAGGCATTATTATAATTGCCATTATCATCATCATCACCACCATCATCATCCTCATTTTACAAAGAAATTAACTAGACCACAGGGTGCTCAAGGGCACAATAGCAAGTCTGTCAGAGGTAGGATTTGAGCATATGTATTGGAACTCCAGAGGTTGGAGTTCCCAAAATGTCCAGGCTCAAGTGGAATTGATTTATAATTTATAAGAATTTCCCTTCTGATATACCCAAAATCAGTGACACACACACCCCTTTACCTAACAATTACTTCCATCCATGTATAATAAGGAAAATTAGTTTAGGGCCATCATCTAATTGTTCTAAAGTGATGTTTATCTGTTTAAAACAAAGAGAAAAAAATGAGCTTACTAAAATATACTTTCTGATTGAAGCAACTCTATTTGGAAAGGGGCAATAAAAAATAATATGCCCTTCTACCATGAAAGCAATTCCCACCCAGTACTTTTCACACTCCTTCCCTTTGGGCAAACACACAGCCTTCCATAACAAAGTAAGGATCAGGGAAAGAGACTTGTGCAACATGGTAGGAAATATGGGTAGACCAAATGGCACTGGTCAGAAATTAAATAATTCAAACTTACTTTTTTGGTACACTTCTTGACAGTGTTGATTAATTCTTGCATTACCAGATCTACACTCTTCAAGGAAGGCCCTTTCAGCTTTACAATTTGTTTTTTGACAATTGCTTCAAATGCCATGTCTGGAGTAAACAATCCTGTCCTGTATGCAAAAAAGGAAGCAAATGAGATTTTATACATTGAGTAATATCCAATACTCTTTTGAAAAATCTTTTAAATGACATGCCTATTAACATAGGCATAAAATACCCAAGCTTGGATGTTACATGATTTATTCTATCCATAATGTCATTTGTAATATCTTTCATGTTGCTATTCCATAACAAACTCCATTGCATAGATGACTAACATTATCTAAAAATAGTCACCAAGCTGTTTTCATGGCCCAAGTGCAACCTTTGATGTTTAACAGCAATTTGTCTAACTTCATTGTTTCACAACAAAAAAAAGGAATGTCATAATAGAAATGATGTCCTAAATTTACATCTCTATTTCTAAAGTATTCCAAAAGCAACCCTCTCCAATTGTTGTGAAGTATGAAAAGATCCTCACTGAAACAGCAGCATTACTGGACACTCTTTTTAGGAAAGCTGTTTATAGTGAGTTCAGCAGTTCCCAGTATATAGTCCCGAGGTGCTAAAGGAAAAATAAGGCAGATAAGTAGGACTAGCTTGGGCCCAGGATGGCTAAATTGTACCAAGTGAATTTACAAAAATAATAGAAATAGAAAATCTCTTTTCATTTGCCTATAATTATTTCAAACTGGTATAAGAATGCTTTTCTCATGCCATGTCAAAGCTCAGGATACCGTGTGTGTGTGTGTGTGTGTGTGTGTGTGTGTGAGAGAGAGAGAGAGAGAGAGAGAGAGAGAGAGAGAGAGAGAGAGAGACTGGAAGGAAAAGCAATGCTCACATTAAAGCAAAAGGTCCATTAAAAAAAAAGTTCAGTAAGAGGCACCCTGTACCCCAAGCATTGGCTGCAGCCAAAGACCTACATGCTCCCAGCCTGGGCACTTGACCCTCCCCATTCCCAGACCCCGGCCCTTCCTCGTCTCACTTCTTATTTGATTAACTTCTCTTCCTTTCACACCCAGTTCTATGGTACCTCTTTTAAGAAATATCTTTAATGCTTCCCTTATACCAGCTTTACTCTGTGTCCCTTCTTATCATTTACATAATGCCCTGTGATTACTATTTCTAAGTAGTAGTCATACCACATTATAATTGCAATTTCTTCACATTAGATGCAGAACAGGATCTACACTGTTTAGTCTAACATTAAAAAACTTCCCCTGACTGGGAGAAATCAAACACTGTACAAAAATCGACAATGATGTAAGAAAATAAATAAATTTACTTATAAAACTAAAAAAAAATTCCACTGTCTGACCCTAACCTTCCTTTGAGTTATTTTCTTCCTCCCTTTCATATGCCGTTTCATCCAAACCAGACCATTTGCCTTTCCACAAATATATTCATTCTAATATTTTATGCCTCTGCCTCCATCTGTGATGTTCATTTCACCTTCCCCACAATTTCAGTCTGTCCAAATCCCACCTGTGCTTCAAAGCCCAGATCAAAAGCAACCACTTCCTACAGCTTGCCTTCCCCAGTCCTGTTGCTGACAAGATCTTCCTTCTCCGAACACAGCATTCTACTTTGCAATGGTCTGAGCACACATTTTAGTCCACTACCACACTGGCAGGAAGAGTCACTATTGCCCCAGAAGGACCATCTCCCTCCCTTGCTCAGGGAGCACTCAGTGTTGGCAGAACGAAGACCACCAGGTCCTTAGTGGGCAAGGTGGTTTCTGCTATTCAAATAACTAACAGAATCAAATGGGAACAAACTTTCCAAATTAAGTATATCTAAGGACCCTCATAATCACACCTTTAATATGTCTTATACTCAGGATACCACATTTCTTACCAAAATAATAACAACCACCAATCTCTACTGGTGACTGCATGTAAATCATTATCTACGGTATAGAATTACTTGCTGATTACATCCAGCAAAAATGATCTGCTAAGGAGTTTTAAAGTGAAGTAAAAGTATCATATTTTGGTTAAGTGAAAATACTTTAAGACTAAAAACTGTGGTTGGTCCCACGGCATGTATTAGCGAGCTACATGCAAATGCTAGTGCTGCACAGTTACAGAGCATCTGGATAGACAGAGCTTCTCCTATATGAGATGTATTCTGGATTTGGGGAAGAGGGAACAAATTAACAGGCAACTTAGAAATCCTACTGCAGATAAGAGAAAAATATTGGATTTGGTTACAAACGTTTTTCTCCTTCCTACTTTGTAAACACAATTTACACATAGTAGTTGAGGCTTGTAGAACAGACTACCCAAGTTTTAAAATGAAAGATTAATTCAAATGTCATAAATCCTTTGGAAAACTCACTCATCACATGGACATTCATGGCCAACCTATGCCCTCTCAGGCTCTATTTCCAAATAGTCTCAAAACTGAGATCCAGTTGCCAAAAGACAGGACACTTCATCATGTGAGATAATCTATGAAGTGGGCAAACTAAGTTTTTTCACCTTGAATTTATGACACCTTAATTGAATATATGTTCCATTAAATTTTTTTAGCTCTCTGTAGGGGAACTTCAGAAATATGTTTTAAATTCAAGTGTTCATCATATTTCTTTAAAGAAAGTAAATGAAAATGAATCCACTCTGTGCAAGACTAAAGTCAGACACAAGTTCCACTCCCAGCCTCATGTCCCCCTGCTCTCCTGTCTGCATCTTAACTCCAGTCTAAATGCACCATGAACACGTGCTGCATTTGCCACCTCTGTGTCTTTGCTGACCCTACTTCACTTTAAGCCCTTTCTTGATCCTCCAATCTCGACAATATCCATTCTGTCACATCTCATGGATTGCCATCTACCCCAAACAAGGGGGCTACAGACACCTCTGACTATTGAAAGCATTCTTATCCTCTAAACAGGCAAGATTCCACTAAAAGTAACCACCTTCATTCATCTTTCTTTCACAATCGTGATCCATCACACCAGTCAAAATTAATCTCTCCTGACTGTATAAGTTATTGTCAGGCCTCTCTCCCTGAAATGTCAGGCTCTGAAGAACAGAGTCTTATTTATGGGTAAATTCCCTATTGTGCAGAACACAGCCCTGTGAGTACAGGAAGGGTTTTTGTTCTTTTAATTGGAAAAGACTGACTATGACAATACAGGAAATGACCATTGGACCCAAACTAAGATTTCCTATTTCTCACTCCCAACTCTGAATTCTATGCTGGTCAGATGATGAAAAGTCTACTTCACTAGAGATTTATAAACATTAATTCTTTTAATAGCTTGAACTAAAGACAAGGAAAATGTGAATCACTTGCCTGATACCATGTATGTTTTTGATTGCATAGCTTATTTCTCTTCGTAATTCTTTCTCATTGAACTCCATCTGCAGATGCAAATTGAGCCACAGTTATAACACTTAATTCCTTTGAATAACAACATTGGAGAATATTAAAGAATGAAAACCTGACTTGGTTATTAATAAATGGATACTCATGTCTTTCCCAGTCTAAACCCAGATGGTCAAAACATCTGTTTATATAAAAGTTCAAGGCAATGTGGGATTTCTGGGAGTTTTAGTGCAGCAGATTTTAACTCTATTACAGATAAGGAGTGCTAGGATGCCTCTGGAAATCTGGCCATTCATTTCAAATATGTAATTCTTCATTCTTTTGTTGATTGAAGTACTATATTCACAGATGAATGTTTCAGCGAGAGTGTCAACTTGCCATGCATGAAACATTCAACTGTGTTTAACAAAGGCTGTCTGTCTGCTTTCCCTGGTCACTTGAACCACCTGAGTTCAAGGATTCTTTATAAAAAGAAACAGTTTATCAATCCAACAGGATAGAGGACTAAATAAGAATTTCCCAGAAGTTCCAGGTACCTTCAATTTATTTATTTATTTATTTTAGAATCTATACCTAAACTAAGGAATATCAAGAGAACACTGTCGTTTAGGCCCTGACTGCTGAGATTTGGCCTCTCCAGCCTCCTTGTCTGTTCATTTTCCCATTCAGACTTCATGCCATACAGCAATGAATTGCTTCAGTTCCCTACCCACACTCTGTGAACTCCCTGCTCAGCCTTTACCACTCCTGCCTTTCTGTCTTGAGCAACCTCCCCCACCACTTCCTGTTTAACTAGCTGCTCGTCCTTCCAAACTCAGCTCAGAAGCCCGGCTCCCTTCAGCTCTTGGGCTGGCATTCAAGTCTGTGGGCTGTGTTTCCATAGCACCCTATGCTGAAGTTTATCACTTTACTTAGCACATTTTAATGAAACTATGTATTTACCCATCTGCCTCCCACACCAAGACATAAGCACCAGCCTCTGTATGTGAAGCAAGTAGCACAGTTCCTAAAACTACTTAGGGGCCTATGGCTTTTAATGTTAACATATCCAAAATCAGACTCTTGACTCATAAACATGGCTTTTCCTCAGTTTCCCTCAACTGATGGGCACTAATAGTCACTGAGTTTATAAGCCAAAATTTGGGGATTCATCTTGAATCTTTTCTTTCTTGCATGCCCCCCATTACACTGAGCCCTACTAAGCCTCCTTCCAAACTCACACATCAAACAATTTTCCTCCATCCTCTTTTTGAGGCATTTAACTATGAAGCTAAAGAAGTTTAAGTTTCAGAATTTCTCTCTTACATAAATCCCTTCCAAGTTTCTGGAGATAAGTGTGTGTTTATATTTTGTATTCTTCTTCTCCAAGGCCCACCCCACCCCAATGCTGCATGAACTTCAGACCCCACAGAAGGTAGATCCATGTTTGGTATGGTCCTACTTACCTCACTTTAGTTATTCCCCTGAATCTTTCCTGGCCCCTTTACAATCCAGCTGACTTAGAGTTCTTTTAAAGTCATCAACCTAATCAGGTTCCACTTTTCCTTAAAACAATTCTCTGTCTTTCCATTGTTAAGTGTGCGCACCTCACTGTACCTAGCCTCACAATATAGACTCTCTCTCCAAATCCATGTCATGCCATTCTCCCCTTCATAGCTCTGCACCAGCACAGAGCAGGTGCTCAAGAAACATTTTTAAAGTAATTAGACAACAAATAAACACCACAGGAACTCAATTAGTACTTGTTGAAAGAATCTGAAATGTTTTTAGAGCCCATTAAATAAAATCAGAATCTCAGTAAGAAAATGTGTCTCTCCTCAATTTTATTTACCTGTGTATAGTGGCTTTTGATCAAAGAATTACCATAGCCCCATACCATTCACATAATATTTTATGAACAGTTATATACAATGGAATATGGAAATGAAGTGAACGAGAGTGTTTGCTTCGGCAGCACATATACTGAAGTGAACGAGAGGGGGAAAATAACATTTGGTACTAACCTTTACTATTTCAAAAGGAAAGCGTTCATGGAAAATACGATTGATTTTAGCACCCCCCGAGAGTTCCAGAGTATCGACTTGATCCCCCGACCCTTCAATTCTCTTCTCAAAGTCCACAGCAAACTGCTGAACCATCCTACATTTGTGAAAGAGAAATAAATTCAAAATTATAAATCTTTGCATTTTTCAATCTACTTTACTATTTTCGTCCTTACAAATCTTTTCCTGGGGTTCTTAGTGGCACCTACTGGCAGAGTTAACATTGCATGCTATTCTTCACTTAAAATGTGATCTATAAAATACACATTCTTATTTTAGACATTAATTACAACATATGTCTAAAATACCAGTGTCATTAAATGCAGTCTGTCCATTAAGTTACAACCATAAAATGACACTTAAAAAATAATGAAATTAAGGGCCTCCCTGGTGGCACAAGGGGTTAAGCACCGCACTATGGAGCCATCCGCAACCTCTGCAGCACGAGTTCAATCCCCAGCCAGGGAGAAACCCACATGGTGAGGCAGACCTCTCCTGTCTAGCCCACTGCTCCCCTCAACAGTGTGTTTCAGTCTGCCTGTTCTGTTCCCTGCTCTGTCCCTGGTGAATCCTCTCACCGCCCCCCTCACTCCCCCACATCTCTGGCCTGTACCCCAGCTCTTATATGCATAAATAAATATTTAAAAAAAAACACTGAAATTAAGAATTAAACTTGAGCAACTAGACTATATAGAATAGTTAAATGAACCATAGCTCATCTGACACCACACTCACTCAGAGGTCTAACAATTCCAAATGCACCCCCTTATTCAGCTACTAATCACCCTCACACCATGATCACAGCTTCAGTCTTTCATGTGAATATAAGCCCATAACTGCCTACTGGATATCTGTCTCCTGTTAGCTGCCCTGGATTCAGTGGGTTCAAATCTGAGCCCTTAACTTCTCTCACCCTTGCCTCCCTGTGCTTCCCTTCACAGGGGATGGCACTATCCACCCAAAGCAGGAATTTAGGGGCATCCTGCACTGCCCTCTGCCACATCCTACATCTCCATGGAGCCACCATGTGATCATCATTCATTTTTTTAAAGATTTATTTATGCATACAAGATCTGGGGTACAGGCCAGAGGTGCAGAGGGTGAGAGGATTCACCAGAGACAGAGTGGGGAGCAGAACAGGTGGATCGACCAAAATACACTGCTGAGGGGAGCAGCAGGCGAGACATGAGAGGTCTGCTGCGCCATGTAGGTCACCTTCCTGGCCAGGGATCGAACTTGTGTTGCAGAGGCTGTGGATAGCTTCATAGTGCTGACATTTAACCCCCTGTGCACCAGGGAGGCCCCATCATTCAGTTTTTAAGCTTAATGAATGCTTGCTTGCTTTCTCTCTTTCTCTTTCCCAATGGCCAGAACTTAATCTCATCGTACTATCGTGGGTGCAAAATGAATTACTACATGTCAAATTCTTAACACAGAATATAAAACATGGTCACTTCTTGAAAACATGGTCACTTTCTTTTAAAGAAAATATCAAAATCAACAAGCAACTATGAACCAGAGACACTCTATGGGGGGTGGGGGGTGGGGAAAGGAGGGATTGGGGTCAAAATAAGGGGGTTGTAATTGTATGGGAAATATAAAAATAAAATTTAAATTTAAAAAAAAGGAAAATGCTTTCTTTTGTTGTTGTTTTGTGATTTGAGCATTTAGAAATCTCTCCACAGGGTATAGTAGACTGTGGTGGAGGATTATCGGTGCCTTGGTGCTGGGTGTGGTGTGGTAACATACATTTGATGAGGTGTGATGCTTCTAGAGCATATACAATGTTTTGAACAAATGTTAATTCAGAAACAATAATATAATAATTAAATAATAAATATAATAATTAAATACAAATTTAAAAAAAATCAAATCTCCCTTTCATAAAGGAATTATATTGTGCATTTTATTTATTTTTCTTCTTGTCTTCTACTTGAAAGAAACCTATGGCAAGTTGCTGAAGAACAAGGATAAGAGGACCGAAAGAGCTGGAAGAGATTGAAAGGGGGAAAAAAGATAAAAGAGACAAGGAAATGGTAATTTTCTAATAATTCTGCTGTTGTAACCCAAGATCCCTAGGGGACAAGGCTATTAACCCCAAGATAATGTAGAAAGAACATGAGGAGTGAAAAAATAAAACTACTTAGCAGTTTTCACCTTTGTATTTTTATTTTTTATTTGAATAATTTATTAATTGGTTAATTTAAGTAATTCTTTTAGTATATATTTCTATTGTGGCAACATTACAACAACACTGTATGATTCAAAGCTATAGGTTCACCTCTCTTCAGACATACATCACCTTTGCATTTTTAAAGGACTACATTAAAATCATTACCAAAAAGGTAAAACAAATTTAAAAGTGGCCTTAATGGTCTGTCCTCTTTTTATTAGATCATTAGATCTCATTTTACTGGAAAAATACATACACTGATCACATGAAATGATTGAATAGGCAAGATAAGTACAAGTGATATCTATACACTACAGATGATTTTTTCAATGGAGCTATGTCTGCTTCTAAAGACCAAGGACAAAACCCCTGCTGTGTTATCACTACAGGTTTTATTCACTTGTAGAGAATCCAATTTTAAATACACAAAAAAACCAGGCATGGGGATGAGCAACTGGTTAAACTTATAACAAAATAAGATCAATAGTTTTTGTTCAAAAAACACAAAGGTTCAAGAGGTGTTGTACAACATATACAAAGCCTCATGTACTTTACTTACCTCTTCCAGTAAACACTGAAAATAACATGACAAATAGACTAAGGCAGGGGTTGGGGGGTGGGGTGGGGAAAGGAGGGCTTGGGGTAAAAATAAAAGGGTTGTAATTGTATGGGGATTATAAAAATAAAATTTAAATTAAAAAATTAATTAATTAATTAATTTTTAAGAACCAAACTGGAAAAATTAATTTAAAATACTGAACATGGGAAGGAAAAGGAGACTCACTGCAGCAAGGCTTTGGTCTTCCTGGTGGGGTCTTCTGGCTTGAAGTTTTTGTAGGCTTCTACCTCATGTTCTATGGAGAGCAACTGTCCCTGTAGTTTGTTCCTGAAATTTGGCAAGGTATCTCGAATGTGGTTGGTGAGTTGCTGAACAAAACAAAGCAAGAGCATACAACAAGTTGAAAATCAACGCATGAGACAAAAACTCCCCTTCACCGCTTTCCTCATCATATAAAACTTTAGAAATCATATGAGACTTGCTGTGTGGGTAGATAACAGGAAGAAATTTCAACCCTCTCCTCCACTGACCTACGAGGATGCTCATAATTCCTTCAGTTAGAGTCATTTCCTTGGATGATTTCATAATGTCTAATAACCTGTTAAAATGCAACTAATAACCTGTTAAAATGAGGCTGCCCAATAACAGCTTACCATTGATTTATCATAGCACCTCCCATGTAGAAGGAAACTTGAACTAGAATGTATTTCAAGTAAAGAAAGATGAGAGTTACAGGTCCTGCCCAATGTTCTCAAGATGAAGGGCTTCCACACAGCCCAGAGGTACCTGTCAGCTGTTAATTTTCTCTCCATTCTGCAACTCAGAGGTGCTTCCTCTACCTCCGCCTCTAGGCCCAAGCCCAACTAGGGTTAGTCACTGGTTTATGCCTCCAACAGGTTGCATAAAAAAGGCTCCAGGACCAGCAAAGAAAAGCTCTTTTCACTACTGAGATCTCTACCTAACTCTACTAACTGCTGACATTTCCACAGGGATCACTGCTGGCACCTCAAGGTCAACACAATTAAAAAATTTTCAAGTGACTATCCAAGAATATATGATCATAGAAGAGGAAAGGGAAATATAAGCCCAGATTGGTTAGCTCTCTGCCTTATATTTTTTTTACTATAGTGCAGATAAAGTCTGAATTAAAAAAAAAAGATAATCTTTCCAAACTAAGAGTACTAAACTTAGAATCAAGCAAAAATATAAATTTCCTAGAAATTCAGGGGGGAAATAAATTCAAAGGGGAAGAAATATGTTTCAGACTGAAAAAAACATTTTAATCATTTCAAAGTCTACCTGAGGCTACCTGAATATATCTACTTAATAAATGAATATTTGTTAATAGTTTCAAGAATTTACACTCATGCCCAGAGCTATGATTTATGATGTTATTCCCTTGACATGTTGCTGTTATGACTTTAAAGCAAAAAAAAAAAAAGAGAGGACTGCATTCCCAGTAACAATATCATAAGAGACAGTCCCAAATCAAAAAGTAACAACAATTATGAGAAGCCATTAACCACACAACTGCCATATGAGCTGATAAATAATACAAATATTTGGTTTCTACCTTTTTCTTCTCAGCTCAACAGCAAAGCAATATTATGGCAATATTCTTGGCTTTCTGTAGCACATCCTTCCTTGGTTTTCATGACCCCATGTGTTCTCATTTTCCCCCTAAACTTCCTGATATAGCTTTTCCATATCCTTTACCTCTACCATACCTGTAAATATTTATATTTTCAAATCTGAGTCTTGAACCTTTTATTTGTTCTCTTCTGTTCTCTCCTATAGCAATCTAATTCCATCCGTGCCTCAATAAATATCAGAACATCCAACACAAGTGCAATCTTTAGACGAGACTTCTTACCATTACAGCAGACATATTAATTTGACCAGCTGTTGACTTTTCCTCTTGGATGTGTCAATGACACCTCAAACCTCAGTATGTTCAAAATTAAGAACTCACTTGTCCCCTCAGGGTTTACCATCTTGGCAATATCATAACAATCTGGAAACTTGGGGTTTATCCTTGACTTCACCTTTCCGTCATCCACCAGAGCTAATCTACCAGTTTTCAATTTCCCTAAACACTTCTCAAACATGTTTTTTTTAAAAATCTCCACTAGCTTTAAGCAAAGCAAAATCATCATTTCTCATTGACTCAAACTGGTCTCATATCTGCTCTTGATCTTCCTGTCTGTAACCGCCAAGATCTTTTTTAATCCACAAATATGATTGTTCCATTTCCCTGCTCAGATATCTAAAATAACTGCTCTTGGGACAAGAGTCAAAATTCTTAACTTGACCTACAAACATAATAGAAAGCAGCCACAGCCTACATCTCCAAATCCACAACTTTTTCCCTGTACTTAGTCCTCCAACCATATTGACATTTCTTTCAATTCCTCAAAATTGTCAAATCTTTTTCCAGTTTTCCCCATAGAAACTGTTCCTCAGGCTCAGAAGTATTAGTGCACATTAAATCAACAACAAAACTTTCCTAGTTTGAAAAATAAAGAGAGAGTGATTATCCAGGAAAAAAGAGATCTTCAGCACAAAATTCATTCAATTTTTAGTCAACCAGAATCTAATTCGATCATAACTTGGGAGTCATCTGTAATAATCAAATGGTCAATTATATCCTTTCTATTTTTCCAGTATTCACAACCTAATTTGTTTCTAACAGTATCTTTCTAATAATCTTAGTGATTTTCCTCCAAGATTTCTTTCAGTTCACTTGTGTTTTTCTTACGCTAATACGCACATGAATGCAGAAATCTAAAAAGGGACATACCAGTGCTAAATATACTGGTAGAATATTATGGTTCCTTCATGACAAACCGTTGTTTCCTCTCTAAAAAATATTCATTCTTTTTTGAATGATACTACCATTGCTCTGCCTCATAGCTTCCAAATGTTCATCTACCCTTAATTAAAAAGTATAAGCCTTACATTATTCTGTGTTTTGCTTCTTAAAATAGAATTATAGCACTGCTTATTTTTTACAATTTCTTCAATTTTTTTGCCTAAATCATTCAAACACAATGTCATAGATAGCCTACTAATATGTTAGTCTCTATTTGTGCCTTCTAGGAGTGAATAATCAGAATATTCAATAGCTACTTGATTGATTAGCTCATTAAGTTGTTAGATAAAAGTTAAAGCAAATCCTCTGAGAGTATTTATGAGGAAACCTCCTCATCCGTTGAGTCCATATAATCAAAACTCAAGGAGAGGGCACTAGAGTCAGTGAGAATTAACACTTAACTCCACTAGGGAAAGGAAAACCTGTGGCCAAGTAAAAGCACTGAGGTTTTATAGAGGAAGTATGTACATGACTGAGTTGAGATGGGGGTGTTTCCAATTCTATCATCTGTGAGCAAAGGGGTTATCAGAAAACTCCTTAGATAGATCAAGATCACTTATTAATATTTGTTATATTAAAGATTTTATTTTTTAAGATTTATTTTTATTTTTTCATGCATACAAGAACTGGGGTATAAACCAGAGGTAGAGGGGGTGAGAGGATTCACCAGAGACAGAGTGGGGCAGAATAGGCAGATCTACTGAAATACACTGCTAAGGGGAACAGCTGGCAAGACAGGAAAGGTCTGCTGTGCCATGTAGGTCAGCTATCTGGCTGGGACCTAACTCAGACCATAGTGTTGCCAGCACTAAGACTTAACTGCTTCACCATCAGGGAGACCCCTATATTAAAGATTTTAAAGAAAAAAAATCAGTCCTAATAAAAACCATAAAGAAATTGCAACAGAACTTATCTAACCATTAAAGATAACATTTCAAATGCAAATCAAAACCACAATGAGATACTAACTCACAACCCTGAGAATGGCCCATATTAAAAAAACTGACAACAACAAATGCTGGCCAAGATGTGGAGAAAAAGGAACCCTCTTACACTGCAGGCTGGAATGCAAACTGGTCCAACCACTATGGAAAGCTGTGTGGAGGGTCTTCAAGTTACTAAAAATGGATCTGCCATATGACTTAGTGATTCCACTCCTAGGAATCTACCCAAAGGACACCAAAACATTAATTCAAAAGGGAACCGGCACTTCTAAGTTTACTGCAGCACTATTTATAATAGGTAAGATATGGAAACAACCCAAATGCCCCAAAATAGATGATTGGATCAAGATGTGGTATATATACACAATGGAATACTATTCAGCAATCAAAAAAGATAAACTCTTGCCATTTGTAGCAACATGGATGGAGCTACAAGGGATTATGTTCAGTGAAATAAGTCAGAAGGAAAAAGAAAAATATTGGATGGTTTCACTTATAGGAGGAATGCAGGCAAATTGAACAAAGGGTCAAAAAAAAAAAAAAAAAAACCTTGCAGGCAAATTATAATCTAAAGCATACAGCATGGGAGGAGAGTGAGAGGGGTCAAAACAGGGCAGGGAAGAGCACAAGGGATGATGCTGACAATTTATCCGTGATGTGGTGGTAGGAGATTTATGGGACTATAACAGAGAATTCATGTAAGAAAATAAAAGTTTTAAAAAAAAACTTTTAATTAACATTTCAAAAACAGATCCAAGAGAGAATCCTTCAGAGATACACAAATTTGACTTAACTACATTTTATAAGAAAATGTGTGCTAAAATATATACCCATGTCCATTTTTCTAATTTAGTGTGTGCTTCTGCTCTGAGCACTGTTTTAATAATATTAAGGTGGATTTCAGTCATTGTGAATGGTAACAGGGTGACTCTAGTCATATTCATTTTTTTAAATTTCTACCAATTAACCTTAATGTCTTGTATTGGGGGGAAAGTTCATTTAAAAAAAATAAGAAGTATGAATTCCAGTAGTCACACATTTTATAATTGTTTCTGTTGCATGAGAGAACTTTACCTGATTCAGGACCTTCTGCAAGTGTGGGGTCCCCATTCGATCAGCAATGTGTCTGTAAGCCGGGTGCGAAAGAAAAAATTTCCTTTCTGCCAACATGGCAGCTTTAATGTCCTTCTTCCCGTCTATGTCCTTCTGACTTCTGTTTACCACCCCCACATAACCTGAAATAAAACACACACCCGTGGAGTTTGGACACTTTTTGTTGCTCATTCTGAAGAGATTTCAAAGCTTTCAAACAGACTGAATAAGAAAGGCAAAATTAGTTTTAAAGCTTGAAGACGTTCCTTTACAAAACTCAGTTAGAAACATCAGTATTAAGGAAGGCCAGCAGCTTTGGCTAATGACAATTTTTTAGCATCAATAGTGTCTTTCTCTTTAAAACCTCCTTGCATTTTAATAGAGTGTATCTCTTAGCTGTTTTGTCATATAGCAGGCAAATAAATGAGTCAGACTTAGAACAGTATATATTTGTGCAGTCTATGAGGAATATTTATACCCTCCCCTGAAACACCTTCCTTTTCCTGTTTTTCTCATTCTTATTATTTTAAGGACTATCTCCCTTTTAAATACATTATTTGAGAGCATTGCACCATCCCATATAAAGAATAACTAATCATAAACCCATTCTTCACAACCATGGAAACATTAAGACCAAGCCTCCATTGGTTTCCCCATGTTTTTCTGCCACATCCTCAAACGAATTCCTGTATAGAGCACAATATATTACCCCTGCGTAGAGGCAGCAGCTTGTTCTCTAAAACATCCCTGGCATCTGTTCCTTCATCCATAAGATCCAGCTTGGTGATGACTCCAATGGTTCTCAGACCTGCATCATAAACAGAACCAACAATACACCATTTGCAGAAGACTAACAGATTTTAAAGGCATGTATGTGCCAATGTTAAATGTAAGACAAGCCGATTCTTAATTCTTTTCCTGTTCCTCTTAGTCTTGTTTCATTTTTCTAATACACTGCTCTGCCAGTCAGGTGAATTTTGATGGAATGAAGACAAGAGAGTTGCAAAAACACTCATCTGTATAATACATTTTGATTCAAGAAAGAAAAGACAAATCACTAAATCACCAAAATATTTTTAAATATTGAGTTTATTTTTTTTTACCATGTATACTTGGAAATGATACATTTTAATTTTCCTCCCAGATTCAAACAATATGAATGTTTTCATTTATTTTATGTGTTGTATTATTAAAAATAAGCAAATAGGCTACCCATGGAGCAATGATGAGAGTGTAGCATAAACCAAGATTAATTATTGATCTGTTCTGAGCATTTGAGATAAAAAAAAAAAAAAGGAAGAAAATTTGGTATAGGATAGTATGATCACCAAAAACATACTTGCAAATCGCAGAGCTTTTACTATTTCTTAGAAAAAGAAACATGAATAAATTGAAATAAATCTGATTTAAGAATTCTGAGGTTTGGATTCCAAAACAAGTAACTTAATTCTTTGGGTCTCAAAACAAGTAACTTAATTCTTTGGGGCTCAGCTTTCCTCATCTTTAATATAAAGAGTTGGAAAATATGATCTCCAAAGTTTCTTTCAACAATTAAAATAATGTCAAAATCTACACATTTTATACAACATATCAGATTCAACATTTGTCTTTTGCTTCCTTTAATAGATGAACAATGATTGCCTAGTGATTCATAATTTTAAGTGCATTCTTTAGACTTTCAGTCAAATAAGATTACATGAACACAAATTTTCATCTTTTACCTGAAAGCTAAGTTAGTAATGAATAATGCTAATTAAGTCAGCTATCACTTTAAATGCTTTTCATATTTTCAACTATTTAAAGATGAGAAAAGATAAAAAGAGATTAAATAATTTTCCCAAGGTCAAACAGGAGGTGTGTCCAGGCAGTGTGGTTCCAGGGCCCTTGCTTTTAAGCAACATATTGATTATCACAGTAATTTAAATATATATATATATTTTTTTTTTAAAGCTTAAGCCAAAAAGATCAAGGAAAATGGAAGAGGACTACAGGAAAAAAATTTGAAACTGGAAAACCAGCAGGATGACTGCTAACAAATTTCACAGACTAGAGAAAGAGGAAAACTTCATTCAAGAAAGTCAACAACAGAAGCCCAGAAGCTGGGTAATTTACATCACAGCATTTCAGAAAGGTTCAGAAGCTAGGAAACCAACAAATCTGAAAATAATGGAGAATGGTGGTGCCACTTGAGGCTGAAATCAGAAGCATAGGGTGAAAGCAGACAGATCTCCAGGGACAGCACACTGGGAGTTAGTTACTTTGGTCCATCCCAGCAGGACAGTACGGGTTTACTCTTTAAAAAGATTAAATTAGAAAAAAAATAGGAACCTGGCCCACTTTACGGAGATCAGTTATTAAAAGAGCATGATTACATGAAATTCTATTTACAGAATGGCAGGACCCCATTTCTCCCCATTCCAATTACCAAATTCGACTTCAAGCAAGAGTTGGCTGACAATCTTTAAACACACCCTCCACCCTCCACAGGATTTGGAAAATTTCCAGGGGAAATGAATCATCCCAAGACTGAAACATATATATTGATATTCAGAGGAATCCCAATAAAAGAAAGTCTAATAAGAAATCCTTCAGTGAAGTTTACCACTCAATATGTCAAGTATACCACAGGGAGTTTTCACCTCCTGTCATTATTTCACTTTTATTATCAATGAACACCCAAGGAGATTCTCTAATATGAGACCAAAATAAAGAAACATTATAAAACAGAACCTTGAGAAAACAGTGTAAAATATAGAAGAAAACTATTATTTTTATTAATATTTTCAGAGGAAAAGATCACTATATTCATGGAATAAGAATGTGATGTCATGAAAGGAAAGATTCCAACTAGAAGAATTCTCAACAAATGAAGTATAAGATTAGAAATAATAAAATGTTCATAGAATGTCTGGAATACAAAGCTAAGAATTCTTCCCCAAAAACAGAAAGAAAAAAAAGTAGGTAATAGGAAGGAAAAAAATTTCTTAAACAAGAGAAATGAGACAGATGATCCAATATGTGAATAAGTGGCATCCCAGAAAGCTAGAGAAGAGCAAACAGAAAGAGTCGAAGTATGGCAGCACATTACTCAAGAAAATGTCATAAAGTAAAAGATGAATTTTTGGATTTAATGATGGTATCAAGTGCCCAACACCATATGAAAAACACACACAAAAAAAGTCAGATCAGTATAAAATTTCAAATGCTGGGAACACATAAAATATCCTAAAAAGTACCCAAAGAGGTTTAAAAAAAAGAAAGCAGCAAAACAAAGATTTGGAAACCATGATAGCATCAGTTTACCCAGCAGCAAACTGGAAACTAAAAATCAGTAGAGCAGTAATTTCAAAATTCTAAGGGAAAAATAATTCCTAACCTAAAATTCTAAACTATCAAGAAATGTGACAGAAAATAAAAATATGTCAATGGACAATGAATATCCTTGGGCTCTAGGAAAAAACCAAAAGACGTAGATGAAGGTATTCATAGTTTATCATCTTAGCATCGAAAGTGATAACACTACTACTAACATTAATGGTGCCTGGTGTGCAAGACAGTATTCTAAGCACCTCAGGACAGGATCTCACTCAGTCTTCATGACAATCCATAAAATAAACACCATATCACCCTTATTTCATCCCTGAGAACTTTGAGACACAATGAGCAATTTTATATTTATAAATATGCAAATATTATCATTGGTAATTACAAATTTATTCTAAGCCTTCATTCTCAAGGAAAAAGTAATGAAAAATTTTAGACTTGTAAAATATCAAAACACTTTATTTCCTTTCTTCACTTTTTGGAAACTTTTAGAGATGTGATCCACCAAACACAAGAACAAACTAACAAAGAGGAAGACATGAGATCCAAGAAGCAGGGAATGAAGGGGCTATAATGAGGAAAAGATATATAACTTTACAACTAGGAAAAGAGAATTTCCAGGATGGCATAGACCCCAGTGCAAAGTCAGGGGAGCCAGCAATATCTATCTGAACAAGAAGGCATAGATTAGTGAAGATATATCTGTCCCTACCAAGAAAAGAAAAATAAACTAATGCCCAGTTCCTAAAATTTGTAAAGGTACTAAGAGATTTAGACTTCTATAGAAGAGATTGGGAAGGTATTTATGATAGAAGACGGACTATGCAAACAAACAAAAATAGAAACATTAACCTCACAAAAGATATAATGCAATAAAGAAGATGCAATCATAATTTACTACATGGCTCAATAATGGATAATATTTTCAGAAGTCATAAATACTCATTTACCTAAATATGTTAATGTAAGTGTATTAGTAGAATGGGAGAGAATACATGTGTATGTGTAAGCATGAGATATGTGGGTATGGAAGATGGAAATAAGACAACTAAATTCTTCTTCTCCACAGTAGGAAGGCAAAAGAAATATCTAAAAACTATTTTTTTAATCATGAATTAGTGGCAAAAACATATTACATAAAAATGTGGGGGCAAATACCAAAAGAAAGCCAGAAGGGTCGAAAGTACTAACTTCTGGAAATGAGTAATCAAGAGTCGGAAGGAATAGGCAGAGGACTGATAATTTTTATTAAAAGCCTTGAGGACTGATTTCTTTTAAGATATGTACATTTATAATAAAAACAAAAGTTGGATTTAAAAACTATTTTCTTTAGTATTCCCTTATTTCCGTAAAGGGTGGAAGACTCAATGCTTAGTGGTACCAGAAATGACAAAAGTAATCATTTTCTCTCTTACATTTGGTTATACAAACAAGCAGCTTAAAACAGTCAGTGAACTTCTGATGGCAGACTCAAGACCTTCATTGATAGACCTCAAAAAGGCATTGCCAGAAGAGATTCAAAAGCAGCATATTTTAAAAGCAATCACCTGAGAATCTAAAGTCTCAGACTAGAAGCAACTCTGTGAGATAGGTGTAATTATTTTAATGACACAATGAGGAAAATGAGATAGACAGAAAGGAAACAAGCTTGCTTAGAGTTCGAAATCCAGGCCACCTCATTCAAATCTTGATCACTGTGTTTTTCTGCTTCCCAGTTCTAAACTAAATTCTACAGGTAATCAGCTGTGTTATTTGTCAAGCTAGTTACATCATCCTTGCCTTTTTATCTGCAGAAATAAAGTTTAATAAGATGTCTCTTTCAAGAACAAGATGTCTCTTTCAAGAACATCCTCCAGATTTTAAAGAGGTTGTGTACAGTTATAAAGAGTAATTTTAAAAAATTCTTGCCTTCCAACTGAAAGGAAAATAAAAATAAATTAAATTTTAAAGTATAAAGTACAAGCAAATAAATAATGTGATACTGAATTTCAATTACCTCACTAAAGAATAGTATCAGTGATGAATGCTGATGAGTTCTGATCTTCATCAGAACTTCAACTTCACCTGAACAAGACACACAGGTACTTCAAAAACCTGACTCATTTATAACATAGAGGCTACACCACTGACTCAGGGATCTGACTGGGTTCAAGTCCCACCAGTGCCCCTTTCTAGTTCTGAGACATCAGTTTCCTCATCAGATAGAACTACACCAGTAGAGTAACCATAACTTTATTTCTGCAGCTTATATATGACATGTGGAATAATAGCATCACCTTTAACTCTCAGAAGCCTTCTATTGAAGAGTAAGTTATATCTTCACTCTAAATCCTCAATAAAATTAGGAAATAACAACTCAATGTTTTAAAACTAATTATAGGATTTCTAGTTTCCAGTCCAGGATGTAAGGAACCTGGAAGTTGCCGCTGTGTCCTAACAAGTAAAAAACTGAACAAACTAAAACACTAACCACACTTCTTAGAG